CCCTTAATATAAATTGCATTACACAGTATATATGTCGATCACTAAATTATGTATATATAAATAGTTACAATAACTGTGTAACCTATTTGTGTAGATCATCTATATCGTATATCGCAAAGTAAATAATACATAGTACTGTAGTATACATATCTAAATTACTTGTATCACCACAACACTAAAGAAAAAATTCTTTCAAAACGGCCACTTTCCCTATAAACTCACCTAACCCTAACGTGAAAAAAGGACAGTAGTTAGTATTTTCCCCAACCCTAACCATTGAAGTTTACAGGTCTGAATCTGTACTACATACAGTACTGAATACCTTTTCGCAACAGGTTTACTAACAATGTTACCCAGAACGTCCCAACCTACGTGATGAATAATATCACATTAAGTATTTATTATCTTGCTACATTCAGTGATACTATTTATCACATTGTTTTGGGACGTCTCAAATAGGTTTGGTAACATCGCTAGTTTCTACCTAGCTTTAACCGAAATTACAGAAGATCAGTATAGTATGGATAACCGGGAAGGTATTACGAATATGGTATGGGAGTGTAAAATACCCATGTTAAAATGTGTACCATACCGATACTGCTCCGGTGTTATATATATATTAGGGCTTGGGTTATGAATTATAGCTGATCAGTATGTATGGTTTTTTAAAATAGGGATTTTACACCCATACCAGACCGATCAGGTTACCATACCATATGATATTCTGTAATCCCGCTAATCCCGCTTTAACTTAAAAACTTAGCATTAGTGAATATACTTGTGTACAAGGTTCTAGAAATAATCAATTTGTGAAAAAATGCTTCACAGAACATGACTAATTTAATTACAAAATGAAAAACAAGAATCATTTAACAACACTAATAATGCATCAGTTGGTATTTGACTTTATTCCTCATGCTATTCATACTACGTATTCACATTTAAGTACTATACTTAATAAAAGACATGCATCTTAATCATTACATTGGTTGCGCTAATTTTCCTGATTGGGACACTTAGGAGCATAATGTCCTGGTTCATGACACAACCGACATCTACGTATACCTGATACTTCAATTCCTTTCTCTTCGTTACCACTATTTGCGTGTTTCGTATTGCTAGCAGCTTTACTATTTTCTTCAGTAAAACCCTTTAACCGCTTAGTGGCAGGTCTACCTTTACCCTGATGTGCAATTGGATCTTGAACATCATCTGCATTATATATGCGACCATCAACTAGTTTTACAATATTATTGTTATTCGACGCTTGATCTTCAATAATTACTGATTGAGCATTAGCCTCCCGCTTTTTTTCCTTTCTTGAAATATAAGACAAAATAAGCTCATTTAAATTCTTTTGATCATTATCCTCCATCGAATAATTTAGAGCCTTTTTGAAATTACCCATAAGTCTGCCGTATTCTACCTTCTTTTGTACATGATGCTGAACTACAATTTCCTGAACGTTGTTAAAATGTTTAGGAACAATTTGTTGTATACTTTTATCCTGAACTTTTAGAGATGACACTCCAATAAATGGTTCTTTAGAGATAAGATCCAAATGTTCCCATGAATCATTTTGAAACCATCTGGTTGGCATTAGCATTACATGAAATAGTGCGTTTTGATTTTCTACCATCAACTTAAAATAGTGTCGACAAACAATTCCTCGTGAAACCAGAAGCAAACATGTACACAAATGCGTGTTATCATCAAGTAAAATGATATGCTGATATGAGTTTGGTGCCATGTAGGGAATAACTCGCCAGACTTCTTTAATTGTATTAGTCGAAACTGAACTCATTAGGGCCTTTAAATACGTTTGCCGGAAGTCATAATAATCTTCAACGGCTTCGTCTTTATCTATGTCCTAAAGTAAATATAATATATTTACATATCAGTATATAATCAGGTTTCTAAACTCACATAGTTTACAAACACTAGTAAAATTTAAAAATTTGTCATGTTGAATGGCACGATTCGAATGCTACTCAAACTGCCATTCGAACTACCATTCAACACTATCACATGACTTCGCAGACATGTCTGTGAAATCATATGATAGTGTTGAATGGTAGTTCGAATGGCAGTTTGAGTAGCATTCGAATCGTGCCATTCACATGGCAAATTTCGGTGTAATATTATTTTACCATTTCACTTTCATTGGATTCATCACTATGTTCTTCCCGATTTACTATTTGTTCCTAACAAAAAACAAGTATCATTTAGTTATATGCTACTTCAGACACATGAAATTTATGTAACTTATACTTACCAACTGATCCTCATTAAATTCAATAGCAGAATCGATCTCTATTTTTTTACATTGATAGAGAACTGATTCACACATTTGATTTTTAAGTTCTTCAATAATTCGACATGATAAATGTTTTTGAATCAATTCCTCGATGTTACCAAAAAGTCGTTCTATAATAAATGGCTGGTGATATACTAATGATTTGTATTTCCATGTTATAAAACTTGCGTTCAAGGCTTCTCTCTGCATCCGAGAATCAATAGCTTCAACTACATCAGTCATACTTGAACTAGAAGAAACTTCTTTGTGAATAAGGGCATTGATTGATTCAACGCGTTGCGTTGATTGCATTCCCGCAGTAAATATTCTGTTCACAAATGCACAAGCCCAGGATTGCCGAGTTGAATAAAGCGTATTATGCAAGTAATCCTGTGCATTAGGATACTTTTCAATTAAAGCTTGAAACTGCTGTTCAAAAACATTAACACTCAACGAATTTCGAGCTTTCCAGAATTCATTAATAAATTCTTTATATTTCACGTGACCAAGTTTGGATTTGAGTCTTTTTGGCAAATTTTGTGATAAGTGCCAGATACAATGTACGTGATATGTGTTTTTGTATACATTTTTACATGCAGCATTCATTGCGGGATCCATATCAGTGATAAAAACGTGTGGCTCAGAACTAGTTGCATCCAGTGTTTGCTGCAAGACCCACTCATAACTTTCTTGTGTCTCGTCATTTAAAAAAGCTTGTGCACCAAGACGCGATTTACCTTCACTGTCAACAAGAACAAATAATGATAATGGGTAATTGTATTTATTTGTTCTTGAGGTATTGTCATGCAAAACGACATCAAAATAACGAGACCACAATAAAATTTGGTTTGCTGTCATCCAAAATATGCCACATAACCGATTACTATCTACATTAATTAGTGGTTGCACAAACATCGTAGGTTCTTCTTTCTGTTGGTTGAGAAGAAATTTTAGCAGATAAGAAGCGTCAGACCCATTAACCTTTTTGTCGCGTTTAATTTTTTGAATTGCATTAGAAAGATCTTGTGTAAGAAATAATTGATCAGGAAATTTTGGTTGAAGCAAGTTTCTTATCATATGTGCATCACATTGACCATAAACCACTGCATGTTCTATTTCAGCCATTATACTTTCATCAAAACGTCTAAATGCTGTGGCAAACCTTTTATTATCGGCATTGATTGAATGATTATGTTCCAGATAAACAAAAGTTATGTGCACGTAATGAGTATATTCAGGACTACTCAAATTAATGTGCCATTTACAATCCGTTCTCTTTGAGCCTTTATTACGTTGTTGGCCGATGGGTTTTGATTTATTAGGCTTGTATTTGCCCGCCTTTTCACAAGCTAATGTTCGTTTTTTGACTCTACGATTCTTATGGAGTTCAACTCTATACCGCTTTGTCGCAAAACCATTTTGCCTTCCATACTCTTTTAAGTAGTATTCCGCAATTTCCCAAGAACTAAACCGAGTTCCAACAGATAGTTCTATAGAGGAGGTTATTAAGGGATAATGCGTAGGGTCAAGTCCTTCCAACTCTGATCCAAGAATAGGTCCTATAGGAATATTTTCTCTTTCTTCTGAGTCTACAATCACGTTATTATACTACATTAGACCAAATCGCATAATTACAAAACATTGTTTACTATACAAACCAAGGTTATTATTCTCAATTTCGTATTGTTCTTCTTCAACTATCATAAAAAAAAAGTTAAACCAGTCGCATAATCACATAATAATAATTACAATGCGCCATTCACTATACTGACCTAAATTGTTATCCTCAGCCTCATATCGCTCTTCAACTATTAAAAAAAAAAAAAAATCAGACTAGTTGCGTAATTGCAACACAATATTCATTACACTGACCTAAATACTTATTCACAATCTCATACCACCCTTCAACTATCAAAAAAAAAAAAAAATTAGACTAGTCGCATAATTACAACAAGCCATTCATGTTGATCTAAAATTGTATTTCTCAATACTAACCTAAATCATTATTCACAGTCTCGTATCGCCCTTCAACTATCAAAAAAAAAAAAAAAAAAAAAAAAAAATTAAACCAATCGCATAATTACAACACGCCATTCACAACATGAAATTCACTATTCTGACCTAAATCGTAATTTTCAATCTCATATCGCCCTTCAACTGTCAAAAAAAAAAAAAAAAAAAAAAAAATTAGACCAGTCGCATAATTGTAACATAGCATTCACTATGCTACGTAACCTAATTCTCAATCCCGCATCGTATCACTAAGCAACTAACGAAAAAAAAAAAAATTTTAGACCAAGTAAATGTTCTTACCATTTTCCATTTTAAAATACTTGGACGCGAATAAAGCGCACTGTCACGGGAACAAGACTTGGAACTAACCGCAGTAAAACAAAAGGTGTATATTGATACTATTGCGCAAAAATAATACGTACCTCTTTTGAGTTCGTATTATTTGACGAAAATAGAATGCTATGTGTCTCGTAGTACGGTATGTTTGCACGTCTCTTTACTCCTTTTGGAAGAGAAAGACAGTTTCTTAAGCTTATTATTATTTTTATTTATTTATACTGCTGCGGTAATTGCATAATTTGTATCACATTTATTTTCTACATCTTTAATTCAAATTCCGCTATGT